ACCGCCACTGTGACAGCCCCAAGCCTCAGCACGGCGGCAGGTACTGCGAGGGCCAGCGCGCCAAGTACCAGTCCTGCCACACCGACGAGTGCCCGCCGGATGGTAAGGACACTGATTCCCAACGCATCCCGCCCCTGTTCCTCCAGAACCCATCACTGCTCCCGTCTCCCTTAAATATTCATGTACTTGGGAGGGAAATATCCTCCTGCTGGGGGTTGTGATCTGTTCCAGAGGGGTGGAAGCTGTGCGGCATCGCTCTGATGCTTGTGCGCTCCCACGTCTCTGCGGTGGCCCATGAGGACAGCAGTTCCTGCAGGCTTCCCACAGGCTCTGAAGGCATGTCTTGCTTTTCCTTTCAGGGAAAAGCTTTCGGGAGCAGCAGTGTGAGAAGTACAACAGCTACAACTTGACGGATCTGGAAGGGAACCTCTTGGAGTGGGTACCCAAGTACGCCGGGGTGTCACCCCGAGACCGATGCAAGCTCTTCTGCCGAGCCAGAGGGAGGAGTGAATTCAAAGTCTTTGAGGCCAAAGTAAGATGACAACCACCCAATTTCAACCCATTTCAGACCAAATGCCCTCATTGCTCCTCTGCATCTTCCCTAGGTGATTGACGGGACGCTGTGTGGACCAGAGACCCTCTCCATCTGTGTCCACGGGCAGTGCATCAAGGCTGGCTGCGATCACATCGTTGGGTCCTCCAAAAAGCTGGATAAATGTGGCGTGTGCGGTGGCAACGGATCAACATGCAGGAAAATATCCGGCTCACTCAACCGATCCAAGTAAGTTTACTACCAAAAGCGCCGGGTTAGGAATATTAGAGCTCTTCCTAGGTCATGTAAAGCCAGTTTGGTTTCTTCATACAAAGCATTGCCCCCCACTGCAGAGCTTGGACTCCAGGAGCGCTTGGCTTCCCCTCCATGCTGTTAACTGGGGTTAACATGCAAGCATCCTCAGCCAGGTCACCCTTGCAACAAGCCTGCTCTCCTCTCCAGGCTTTAGGGCTTACACTAAGCTTATTTCGGGGCATCATTAAGCAAGCCAAGTAGAGTTTATTTCCTCAAATAATAGCTGGTGCTGGCAGTGGGCTTGGTACACCACTGCAAATCAATCTGCTGCCCTGAGGAGTTTACATGTATCTTACCCCAACGCAGTGATTTGGACACATATTCAAGGGCTGATGTGGGATATAAATAGTTCAGTAGCTTCTCCCTGGGCTCTGGGGTGAATTTCGGGCATCGAGGCAGCCTCTTTCCGTGCCCAAGATCTCCATTGCTTTGCCAAAGAGCTGAATTTTAAGGCTTTTGTTGAAAAGATGGTAACAAAAGCCCAACACGTCCAATTCTAAGCGGTGAGGTGACTCATGCAGTCAAATTACATTTCCTGAATGGTTTCCTTCCAGGGAACCAGCTGAAATGGGGCTTCCACTCGCCTATGAATTGTTTGTGGTTGACTAAAGAGAGATTAGCGCGGCAGCTCCAGCCAAGAAGAGATCCCATTAAGATCAGGGTCAGGGTGACTGAGGGCAGAGTTTGACCCGAAGGCTTTTCTCCAAAACACTCCAAACCCAGTTAGTGACCGCAGCATCAACCATGGGGATGTATGGAAAACCATCCCGACGGCCCCAGGGGCTGAGTCACGCCAGGGTGGTGCTTTATTGTAGCAGCAAGTAATGACCATGGGGTGCCAAGGGCTTGAGTACCAAAGTCTTCCTGGTGCTGTCCTCTATCTGTCCTGGTGTTGTATCTGGATCTATAGCTATACAGCTGTATTATATAGCTATATCTGATGCTGTCCTTCAGCATCACCAGTGACAGCATCCCTGGGCAGGGCCAGGCTTTTAGTTCCAAACACTTCACCCATTTCAGAAGAAAGGGATTAAGGGCAGCAAGTGGTACCCCATGCGGTGGCTGTTTGATTGCATCGCTCACTTCTGATGGCTTTAACCTGCCAGAGGGGAGATTGAGATGAGTTCTTGGGCAGAAGCTCTTCCCTGTGAGGGTGCTGAGGCGCTGGCACAGGGTGCCCAGAGAAGCTGTGGCTGCCCCATCCCTGGCAGTATCCAAGGACAGGGCTTGGAGCAACCTGCTCTAGTGGAAGGTGTCCCTGCTCATGGCTGGGGGTTGGAACTGGATGAGCTTTAAGGTCCCCTCCAACACAAATCAGGCTGGGATTCTATGATTTCCAGCTCCTGAGAGCTCGGGGTTACAGAGGGGGTTACTAAGAGCTGTCCCCTGCATGGGTCTCCCCTTAGTAAGTCCAGGGAACTAACCATGTCCCTTTGCCCTGTGCAGATACGGCTACAACGACATCGTCACCATCCCCGCCGGGGCAACCAACATCGACATTAAGCAGCGCAGCCACCGAGGGGTCCGTCACGACGGGAACTACCTGGCCCTGAGGACCCTCGAGGGCAAGTCCCTGCTTAACGGAGACTTTCCCATCTCGGCCATGGAGCAGGACATCCTCATTAAGGGAACCATCCTGAAGTACAGTGGCTCCATGACGACCCTGGAGAGGCTGCAGAGCTTCCGACAGCTCCCGGAGCCCCTCACCGTCCAGCTGCTGACCATCGCCAGCGAGGTCTTCCCACCCAAAGTCAAATACACCTTCTTCATCCCCAAGGACGTCCCTTTCAGCAAGCAGAAAGGCAAAGAGAAGAAGTCGGCCAACGTCATCCGCCCGATGCTGACCTCCCAATGGGTCCTGGGCGACTGGTCCGAGTGCTCCAAGACGTGCGGCTCCGGCTGGCAGCGGCGGGACGAAAACGTGGAGGGTCAAACCTCCTCTACCTGCGACAGAGCCCTCAAGCCTGAGGACATCAAGCCCTGCGGTGACATCCCCTGCCCGCTCTGGCGCCTGGGCCCCTGGTCCCCCTGCTCCCAGACCTGCGGGGAGGGCGTGCGGACGCGCAACGCCTCCTGCATCGACTACACCGGCGCAATCACTGCCCCGGAGAGATGCAGCTCACCGGGGCCACCGCCGGCCACCGCTGCCTGCGTGCTGCAGCAGTGCTGAGCTCGGTGCTGGGGCAGGACGGCGAGGGTGCTGTGAGCTTGGTGTTTAACCACTCGCTCTCCAGCGGTTCATCCCCGTCCCATCCATGTCTACCTCAGAGCGGGGAATAACGGCAGCAAAGTGGGGAGGAATCACTTCTTGTCCTTTCTCTCTTCCTTTCCTTCCAGCTGGCTGCTTGCAGGCAAGTTGTAACTTAAAGGGAAAATAGGTGTATCCATAGGGTTTTTCCAAAGAGCTGTTGTTAAACACGGCTGCAGACTCTGTTTTGTAAGGATTTGTTGCTGGAAAAGAATGTGGAATCTGGCTTTGCCATCGCCCCGTCCCAGCTGCAGGTCAAGGAGGTCCAGGGTGGGTGGCTTTGCTGATAAAATTGGGGTCCCTTTGCCAAAGGGCTGGATGGGGATGCCATCCCCTCCCTGCAGTGTGGGTGTCCTTGAGCATGAGGAACATTTTATCAGCTCTGGGTTTATTTGGGAGTAACTTGCTTGGCTGGGAGCAGGAGGGAGATGAAGGAAAGATCCTGGTGTGTATTAGACAGGACAGGCGAGGTGCTAGTGGTGGTTTTTGCTGGGCTTATAGCCTACAAGGGGACAAAGCTCTGTCTCTAAATACCCCCGTCATCGTAGAATCATAGAACCCCAGACTGGTTTGGGCTGAAGGGACCTTAAAGCTCATCCAGCTCCAACCCCCTGCCACGGGCAGGGACACCTTCCACTAGAGCAGGTTGCTCCAAGCCCCTGTGTCCAACCTGGCCTTGAACACTGCCAGGGATGGGGCAGCCACAGCTTCTCTGGGCACCCTGTGCCAGCACCTCAGCACCCTCACAGGGAACAGCTTCTGCCTTAGATCCAACCTGAACTTCCCCTCTTTCAGTTTGAACCCATCACCCCTTGTCCTTTCACTCCAGTCCCTGATGAAGAGTCCCTCTGCAGCATCCTTGTAGCCCCCTTCAGACACTGGGAGCTGCTCTGAGCTCTCCACGCAGCTTCTCTTCTCCAGGCTGAGCAGCCCCAGTGCCATCTGCAGAGCTACTCCTGAGCTCTGAGCCCTTGCCTCCATTTCCCCCGCTGTAAAACCAAGGCTTAACGACACTGATCTGGCTTGTAGGGCCACCCGGAGGGTTAGTTTGGGATGAGCTCGGGATGAGTGATTCTATGTCCCAGGCTCCTTTCTCAATGCCCCTTGCCTGTACCCTGCCTTGGCTCCCGTTGAATATCCAGTTGGATCAGCCTTTTTCCCACAGGAAGGGAGAAGGGCTGAAGGAGAGGACTTGAATTTGCAATGTCTGAGCTTCCTCATTTACAATTGCAGGGGGAATCCTTTCTCTCATCTCTTTTGCCTGAGCTCAGCTCGTGTGAGACCCTTGCCTTGCTGGCCAGGCAGGTTCCGGGTGGGAGTGTGGGGTGAGCCGCTTCCCAAAGCCCTGCCAGAAACCCTACCACCTATATGAAAGCCCCAAATACTCAGCTTTATCTCCCATAGGTGATCCTATTGAAACCAAGGAGGCTACAGCCAAGGACTGAAGGTATTGAGGGCTTGGGTCTTTAAGGGAGGAGGAAAACATGAAGTCCAGCTGCAGAGTTTGGATGCAGAGCTGTTTGGGCTGTGTTCAGACCTACCTTAGGGCAATGTTCTGTGTCTGCTAATTAATCTTCAGGAATTTAAGCCCTCTCATGCTCTAACAAATAGCTGGATGCTACAGTCATGTAGCCTTGTAGGGTTGTTTTCTTTCTCCCCTTGGAGCCTGCGAGGGTTCTAACTCCAAGGCCAGTGTGTTTCCCCTCCGGTGTTTAGGATGGGTCAGAAGTTTCACCCTGAGATGGTGCCAAGGAAAACGTCTGTATTTATCACACAGGAGTCGTGCACGCCAAGGGGCTCTTCCAGTCTTCTTGTTCTCTATATTCCCTGCACGGTCGCTTAGCTGGAGCTTCCTAGATGCAAAATCTCCCCTGCTGTGGGCAAATCCTGCTGCTTTTCCAGCAGGGAAGAGGATGGGGACCCCGTTGGGAGCAGGGGGACTGCAGGCAGCGATGCTTGGTTGAGGTTTGGGGTCTGGGTGATGGTTAGTGGGATTCCTGCCCTTGCCTTCCAGTAGAAACACGTAGCCTTTAAGCTGATTTAAGACAAAGAGGTTATATATTAGGATATATATGTGTATATATATGTTTCCCTTCAGTGAAGGATTGTAGCAATGTACTGAGCCTCTTGTGTTAGGTATTTATTATGAATCCCTGTTTGGTTTTGTACAGTGTTTTAACATGCTGCTCCCACATCCCCACTCCACAACCTGCAGCAGCATCGGAGAGGGGAAGTCTTTGCTCCTTGCTCAACCACTTTGGCACACGACTGGTGTCTCCCTCCTCCCTGCTGCAGCCAGATCAGGTGCCGTTGCCCACCGAGCTGTGAAAAGCGTAACAAACACAACCAAAATGGAGCTTTGGACTTTCATTTTAAGGGAGGGGGGGAGAAAAAGATGATTTTCCAGTTTTTAGCCTTTTGTTCGTATTTGGGTTTAACTTTGGAAACAGTCTGTTTGTGACTCGTCCTTTACCCCTTCAATAAAGGATTCCCTGCCTCTGACCTCTCTGCATTTGTCTCTAGTTGCACTTCTCTCAGGATATGTATCTTTGTGTCTCCATCCCAAGAGTAATATCTTAAACCTCCCTTTCCCACAGCTTATCCAGCCTTCAAATAAATAGTTAGTTGGCTTTTAAGATGCTAAACCAAAACATTATGTGACAGAGGAGGCAAAACCCATGGAGCAGAAAGGATTCCCTAGATATTTGGGATTGTGTCTGTTTTGCAGACTGCTGATGAGCACCCACCTCCTCTCTACATGTACATACATACAGATAATTCTGCCACTGAGAGGACATAAAGCCTAAACAGGGCTACAACAGAGGGGATTCTGGCTCCTTCCCTTAACTATACAATAACCACAGATAGTAGGAACTTGGTGTTGTCTCTCTAGGCCCTCTGAAACACAGGATGGCTGGAACTCGGTATAAGGCAAGGCAGGATTTGGAGCTGTCTTGCTGGAATAAGCACAGGCTCATGACAAGGTGATTCGGGTATCTTTGCTTGGTCACACAGGCTCTGCTGCTACGTGACCTGGCTGAAGGCACAGTCTGCTGTTGAACAGCAGCTCTGGTTTATTTCCTATATATTGGTGATTTCCATCCTCTGATGGAGGGAGAAACGATTCTGCCCTGGCTGGGCAGAGGCTGCCAGGGTTGAGCCCCATGGGAGGGCGAGGGAAAGGGTTAACCCATTGCTGTGGGATGTGTCACCACGTTAATGGGCGCAGAGATGCCACCCTATTTATAACCAGGTGTGACATTCATGTTACATGACTTCCCTTGGCACCCGTACAGGTTCTGGCTCATTAGGGAAGCAGCCTTTTCCTTCCATCTTTCCTTTTTGTTGTCTTGTTGCCATTGCTGGCTTTGAGCTGAATAACTGGAATTCCAAATGATGCCAAAGGCTTTGGGATATTAGCGGGTAGGAAAAAGACCTTAATTAATCATAGCAGTGTAGCTATCATCAGTTAACTTCTGAAAAAGAATAGTGGGATAAGGAAATAAGCCATATGGGAGCTCCTCACCAGAGCCATGATGGTATCCTGGAGACAAAGGGGACCAGTGCAAAGATCCATTTCTACAGTCCCATCAGGCACCCCCCCACACCTCATGCTGCAAATACGGCTGCTCCCAAATCAGGAGTATTTGTATTTTATCCTCTTATAAGGCAATTTCAGGGGATGTAGGACCAGGGAATCACTAGGGACATGCTGAAATGGTGGTTTGCTCCTTTGTTCCCCTCCAAGGGCTGGGCTCTCCCGATCTCCTGACCCCAGCTATCACTGAATAGTTGCTCCCCTTTGTCCTTATGCTAATGTTGTTCCTTAGTTTAAAAGCTTTCCTTTCTCCTTGGTTTCTTCCTCCCCTTCCAGGTATTTGCAGACAGGAGTTGTACCCTTTTCCAGCCTTGTTTTGCTTACCTTCTCCAGCCCAGCTCTGCAGGCTCAGCTCGTCAAATACCCTCCTCAGCTCTGGGCTGGATTTGTCGTCCCCAGACAGACATGACCACGGTGTCCCAGCAAGGTCACACCAGCACCTGGTGCTCCAGCCGCAAATCCATCCTTATTCCTGATGGAAACATCCTTCCTGACATGTCCTAAGACCGTAATGACCCCTTTCTGCTGTTACCCTCTGCTCAGCTCATCCACCCCGGCCTCACGGCTGCTCTTGCTCTTCCAGATCCCTCTTTCTCCATACAGAAAGCTGTTCAATTCATCCTCAGTCACCCAGGTAAGTGGTTCCCACAGCTCCCGGGCAATGGCATTTGAGAGGGGCTGTTGCAATTCAGGGTGGATGTGCAGGGAAAGTATCATTTGCTTTTGGTGTTAATGGATGCATCCCACCAGGAGAGGGAAAACAGGCTCCTAGCAGCATGGGATCAGCTCCAAGAGCCGCTGAAGTGAAGGAAAACTTATCCCACAGGGTGCTAAAAGAGGGTAAACCAGCCTCCAGCCTGGTTCTCCAGAAAGCCTTGAAAGCTTTCTCCTTTTTTTCCCACTGGTGTTTTATACCCATCCAATTCCAGCCAAGCGGCTCCTGAGGTCCCTGTAAGTGAGGAGTAGATGCACAGACCAGATTTACCACTGATTTACTCAGGGTTTACGTCCGTGTTGCTCCACCTGTGACCAGGAATCGAGGTCATGATGTTGTACAATGCACGTAAGAGCAAATCCCCTTCCCAGGAAAACACCAGGAGCCAGTATTTTGGGAATTCCTTGCAATGCCTCTCGCTGGGAAACTGCAAACAGCAGCAAAAGATGACCCAGCAGCTCAGGAAACCCGAGCAGGAGTAAATCAACACAGCTCCCTCCCTGATTTACTCCAGCAGATGACACTGGAATCTGCTCCAGGAATCGTTGGAGAACCAAGGCAGCTTGCTTTCCCACTGGGAAAACGCCGTTGATTTGGAGGCAAATCCAA